CCCAACTAGTAACCACTAGTCATTCTTATTCACTTGTATTCAACACACCAACACAGTCCCAACTAGTAACCACTAGTCATTCTTATTCACTTGTTGTATTCAACACACCAATACAGTCCCAACTAGTAACCACTAGTCATTCTCATTCACTTGTTTTATTCAACACACCCACACAGTCCCAACTAGTAACCACTAGTCATTCTTATTCACTTGTTGTATTCAACACAGCCCTGACAAGTAACCGCTAGTCATTACCCGTTTATAAATACTTTGTTTCGTTCCTCAAGAATTGTATGCTGAAATTTGGTTCTTGGACGTACGATGCTGCTTCAGTTGACATCGTCCCAGAAGCGCCATCAGCCAATCTTCTGGATTATCAACAGAATGGTGAATGGGATTTGATTGACTTTCCCTGCGAGCAGAACAAGAAGTCCTATGTCTGCTGCCCCAATCCCTTTACTGACGTCACGTGCACACTCCAAATAAGGAGAAGAACCAAATATTACTGGATTAACCTGATTATACCCTGCATGTTGATAACAGGTATGGATTGATCACGTGATCGTTTCCCGCCATATTCGAATGAGGAGGTCTCCGTTAGCAGGTCACGTACCATTTCTTGGCAAAAAATGCAGAAAAACGAGAGGTTGAAGTAGCTGTTTTGTGGGATTAACCGCGATTTTGTATGAAATTATTTTAAATATTAATCATGTGTTCCAGTGAAGGTCCTTGGAGTTTTTTAAGTGTTTGTATTGTTGAAGTTGTACATTCTTTACTTTACCGTTAGTATAGACCTATTGCAGCATGTCGAAATACAGCTCAATTTGGAGGACATTGCAATAGATTCCCAATTCTCAGGAGATTGGAATTCTTTTGTTTTGTCTTCCAAATTGAGCTGCTTTGACGTCTCTTTCAAGGGATTTATTTGTGAATATTAAGAAACTGATATCAGGCTAACTATGTATCAATGAGTATGTAATCTAGGAGCACAGTGGTATTCGACTAATTCGACAACGGTCTATTGTATGTTTTAGTGTTGTCATTGCTGTCTTTCATGGTGTCCACCGAGTCTGGAGAACGTATTACCCTTGTCATCACTAACCTACTGGCCCTGACTGTCTTCATGTTGATTGTAGCTGATATCTTACCACCAACATCAGAGGTCGTTCCCTTGATCAGCATCTATATCACGTGCTCTATCACCGAGGTAAAGTCGTTATTCATTTCACGTGTATTGCAAGCATTCCGAGCAAGAGGCTCATGAGTGAAGCGTTCGAATCCAGATCAAATTGCAATAGACCTCTTCATTTTGGGCGCAAAGTTTTTCATTTCATACCAAGTGTCACTCTCTTTAGAGTAAGAATATTTGTTTGAGTTGTATCCATATTCATATGTCTTCTTATGCGCAACAGTTAAAGAAAGAAATGATACTCTAGGGAATGACACATTGTCTGGACAAATGCGTCCAATAGGCCGTTTGCGCGATAGCATCATTTTACTACCACTACCAAGATTCTTCGCGAATTTTCTTTCTTATTCTAATTTGTATTTCCTCTTGATAAGAATAGTAAGTCATTTGGTGCCAATTAACTGCACAGAAGAAAGTGTGCAAGTGATTTTGTTAGTAGTAGTGAATGAAGCTATAATGCAAGGGACCAATTAGAATTTCAGTTTTGAAGATGGAGGAAGATTGGAGGCCCTTAAGCGAATCCCTCTTAGTACCGGAAAGAACCAATAATAATGATAATAATTGCTTTTCTATGAGGTTGGTATTGCGTTGGTAGCAACCTGTGTCGTACTCCAGTGTTACCATACCAATCCTGACATGAATGAAATGCCTTTCTGGATGAGGTACTTTGTCTGTCAGAAGCTCGGAAAACTGCTAAGGATACAAAAAATCAAGCATAAGATTGCTGAAAAAGAAGCAAAAGACGGTGTAGATGGTCTTCTCAAGAAACCAAAAATAGAACCACGAAACAAGCTATTTGGGTTTAGTAGCCTGCCCCTTCCAAGGTAAGTACAAACCGTGAGGTCGGGAGCTTCCTAAGCAGATGTCCCAGATTCTTTTCGCCTTTAGGGCGAGAAGGCCCTTCCTAACTTCAGGTTTTTATTTATGTAAAAGTGATTTAAAATGTACCATTTATTTTATGACTCTCTTGGTGACTTATTTCGATGGAGTTCCTGTGGAATTTGGCGTGAAGTTTGGCGTGACAAAATGCACACATTTGATTCCTTAACGCACTGAGACGTTGGTAGTTGTTGACCGCACGTCAGACTGAAGTGAAATTGTTCAAAATTCATCCGACATGGAGTAATGACAACTTAGAGACCTGGTTATCTCAGGAACTTTTCCAAATTCGCTGGTCATAGCAAGGGGTTAATCATATGCGGTCCAGGGGCCGACTAATATCTCCCTTAGGCTTCGGCCGAGCTTCCTGATCAGTGAATGGATAGCGGTGTCGGGGCCGAAATCTCCGGCATAGCCGTAAATGCTTTGCGCTGCCATACTGCGCTTCAGCTTTAGGTCTGGAGGTATGGTCCTATTTGAATTGCTCAATAATTATTCTATTGAAAATATACGATAACGTAACCAGATATTTCAATGAATTCATTGACAGTTTGTTATTGCTGGTTTGCAAGAAGGTAAAACGGCAAAGACAATAATAAATCTTTTATTTATAAATATACGACCAACATGGCAGCGACGACGTTATGTTGAAACCGAGCAAAGAATAAAATTTAGTGCTATTGATTTTTGTCATATCGAAATAGTGAGAATCTGATTTACTAATGAACAACGCGCAGCTAAATACACAACTGTAAATCTTTCTATTGTAGGTCAGACAGTTACGAGAAACTCTTCAATACTTCAGCAGGGGAAGCCAGCTGCAAGGTGTGCCAGGAAAACAAGGAAGCACCATCACGTCCAGTCAGTCAGTATTTCCAGGAAGCAGCAATGTACAAACTCACCGACCGCAATCTTCAAGAATCAGAAATCAGCCTTGCGGGATCCCTGTGTGATGAGCCTCTTGATGCAGCAGAGTGTAAAGAAGACTGCACATGCGCGAGCTTGCGGCCTGTGTTACCGCTGCTTGGAGCCATTATTCACCGTCAGGATCACATCGTCGAAGGCATCAAGAAGTTGACTGACAACCTCCAAGAGGAGGATATCATGGGTGGGGACAGAGATGAATGGATCTTTGCTGCGCATGTCCTTGATAGATTATTGCTGTACTGTTTTATCATTGTGCTTTTTTCGTCTACTCTTTTCACCTTTGTTATGATCCCTTCGTACGACTGAGCGTCACGTGGTCACAAGTACCGCCAAGCTGGAGGGTACGCCGAGATTCATTAATGTCATCCAAGATGGCGGCTACCATCACGTGACCCGATAATGGAACATGAATCTAGAAGATGGTGCTTGTATGGAAAAAAATTAGCGAATCTGAAATCTTTGGCTGCTAAATGGGTATACTAGCAGTGAAGCTACCCTTTGCGTCAATGGAAGTTGATACCACGAGAAAAACAGAAAGAAATGTCCAGCTACGCCTGCCTGTTGCTATGCTCACTTTTTCTCGTGCTCTAGCTCTTCCTAACTTGTAGATTTTGTTTAAATATATATAGCTGTCTGTCTATATATTATATATTTCTGAGTTTTCATGAGATATTTTGAATACCGAGAACGGAGGCAATAAGTCGTATACGTCGTGACTAGGCCCTAGCCCTGGCTTGGAAGGCATGTTCGATGTAAAATAACCTACATTTTCATTTATTCAGGGTCTTAATTTAGATATGGTTTCGTCAAAATGTTGAAATGTTGTCATTTGTGTTTGTAAAATGGGTGCTTTTTTTTTTTTTTTTGTATATCGTACTTACAGTGTGTACGAGTATCTTTTTGTACCTTAGAAATTAGATCCATTGTTTGTCTTTGTAATACTAATACCCAAAAATAAGTCTTAAAGCGTTTGCTGATGTCCGTAGAAGAATAAAAGAGATTAAAAACAATGGAATCGAAAAACAAGCGGACTCTTTTTTTTGTATCACTTGGGAAAAGACAACAAAAGGCCAAGAACCGGGGTTAATCTAAACCTTGTAAACAGGGGCTTGATTTGCTTGGTGAAGGGAAAGACTTCTCTGGGTTTGAGCTCAAGAATATGTACTTGTAATAATGATATCATTGTCATTGAGATTTACAGCTCCTTGTTTTGACGAGAAAGCAAGACACCAAAGACCCAAACAGGTACCAAATGCACTTGATTATCTTAAATTAACTATCCCTTGCAAGGCATAATAATCATGAGTTGCATACTTAGGATTAGTGCATTGAGCACTCCTATTCCAACCCTTCCTTCCTTCCTTTAACAATGAAAAACTTGTTATCGCTTATCACCAACGCGAGTACAGCAAGAGCGCAGCTTAGCGGGCTCGAACTGAAAGCATGCCTCTGGCGGCACCTATACTGTCCATGTATGGCCCCGAAGCACAGCTCTAAGAATGGTTGAATTATTTAGGGTATTCTATTTGTTGTCAAACAGGGTCTATTTAAGTGAAAATCATATCCTTTATTTTGTTGAAAAGATATTGTTTTGTATTGTGTACATTGGTGTGCTTAACGTAAGTGGCTGTAATAATGTTTGGGCTGTAATTTATACTGAAAACAAAAACGCCTCCTCAAATCCGAACGAGTTAAAACAGCTCTTTTTAATTAATAGTGTGATCTGCTCGTTCGAGTGTAGTCCACTTTTTGTATCTCTTTTAGTTTGTCACAATTTTGTTAAGCTTCATTTCTACAGAAATATCATATTCGTGAATTCGTATCTATTTAATGGTACTTAGAATTCAAGTGTGTATTGCATTTGTTTATGTGGTGGACGTGAGTACAATGTCGAGGGATTTTCTATTGTGATGAGATGAATCCTCTTAAGATATTCTACAATGGACCTTAATATCATGAGCGATAAAACCAGAACTTGTCACTTCTTTTAGGGATACTTCTTAAGAGAACTAACACTGTTTATTTGATAATGAATATATATTATATGAAATTTTAGGGTTTAGTATGGGTGCATAAAATATCCACTTCTACTGCACGCTAAATTGTCTAATAAGTTACTTTTTATCCAACAGATTTTACTTTTCTTTACAAGAAAAGGCTTCCAAAAGAATGTTTTTCTTTGAACTAGTTTTCAAAACCAGTTTAATATACAAAAATAACCTAAAGTCCCATGATGTTTGTACTCGCGCCAGGCTTTTTACTTTCTACTTTCTCTGTTGAGTATAGTTGGATAATAATCATTCATCATTACCGTCGTCATCATCCTTCAATAATATCTTATTAGCTATGTGATCAACATGATCTTTACAAGATAACCTTGGGTCATGACGCCTAGATACTTAAACGTGCAAACCGACCGACTGAACTTGAGTTTTGAGTAGTGCACATTAGCATGATTTTAGTTTTGCCAGAGTTTGGGGAAAGTTTGGTCATAGGTTGTTGTTAGACGGTCATCTGCATAACGTCCCAAGCAACAGTAGGTGGTATAGTAATCGATAGTCAAGTAATAAAAATGAAATAATAAACAGTAGGGGACCAAAAACAGACTCTGTGGGACAGGCTATTGGGCTGAAATATACCATTAACAATAATAATTTGCAATATGTCGGAAAGATGAGTCTATTCTTCGTTTSYACGTTACGTCATCGCGGCCATGTTGGTACCATTTAACAAAAGATTTCTCATTAGCATCCATTGTTAACGGTACCACAATGGCCACCATGTTTTTGTCTTTTAACTCTCTTGGAAATGCTTGCAACCCATCAATAGTGCAGTAAGTTTATCAAGTAAACTATCGTGGTCTCAATTGTCCAACGCTTTGGAAAGTTCGAGGTAGACCATTCCAGTTAAATGTCCCTTGTCTAAATTATGCAGCAGAGTCGGTATTGATGACATCAGTCAAGTAGGTACTAGTTGAGTGGAAAAGACGGAAACTATATTGGTAGATTGATAGAATAGTATTTTTCTGCAGATCTTCATGAACATTAAAGTACAATAATATATAATATATTTTGAACGCAGAAAAAAACATTCCTCAAACGAGAGATTTCTATTGCTCGGCTCTACAACATGGTAGAAGCAAAACTTCCTATTTTTGTCACTTTATAAATGGTTTACTTCCTTTTTTTCTTAGGTGATACTTTGTGAATAGATCGTATACTGAAAACATGGTTGATAACCATCGTATAAAAGTTTTAAACTCTGGCGAAACAACACGTTTGGAGCGAGTGACTGAAAGAATAGACAAGGAAAGACAAAACCTTGCCAAGGAGCTGAGAGACATTCAAAATGCACGACTTCTTTTTGAAGCCAAAAAAAGATCAAAGAAAGAATTGAAAAGAACTTTGAGTGTGCCAGTCGTCAGGCGTCAGTCACTCGAAAACTTGCAAAACAGTGTTGGAATGGATATTTGGACTAACAATTCTCATCAGCGCTCGRCTTCAAGATTATTTTCAAATTCTGCTCAATCTACTCCTCATAGTGACCTTATTAGATCGAAAAGTGAAGAGGCTCCGATTCAACAACAAGCGCGGAGGATGTCCTTAACTAACACTCCTCATCGCTGGAGTCTTAGCAATCAGGCACCGAATCAGGAATCGTTGGATTGTGTCCCTTCTAACCAGCGCATGCGTCGAATATCACTGCCAACAGTTACTCCTCAGTTGACTTGTCGCACCAGCAGTAAGTGGAGTAAGAAAGATGTATTGGATGATACTTCTTCTCGACACATGTCGGAGTCCTTATCAAATCTTCTCCCATCAAAATGGAGCCTTAGTGGTTCAGAGAAGGATATCAAAATGCCTCCTCGTAGAAGTAGAGATAAACAGCCGAGGTCTCCCCAGAGTGATGGACGAAACAAAAACTGGAATCTTCGAGAAGACTACACTGAGGTCAATTCAAGGGGGACATTTCGTTGTCCTTTGGGAGAAGAAAAAAATGACTTTGGTTCAAATGACCTAAGTGTTGTGTTTGTTGATGAGTACGATCGAGGACAAAAGCAAAGTAGTAAAGAAACGAAGTTAACACTGCCTCTCATAGTGTCTTCCAGAAGTCCATCACCTTTGAGTCAACCAGATATCCATGGTAGACTTTCCGGAACTGACATGTTTAAGGAACGCAGAAAACGTTCCCTCTCAGGTCAGATACTTATCCCTCAAATCAATCAAGTTGATCTCAGGAGAGATCATGGTAGCAGGGACGAGTATGGAAGCTCTGGCAAACAAGAAACAGGAGTAAGGGTTTCTAAGCCTGCTGAGAGAAGGGCTTCCATCAAGAGAGTAAAAGCGTTGGCTTCAGTAGAAATAGAAAGACTGACAAGATCGTCAGATGAACTAGATGAAGCAATGATGAGTAGGTTTAAAAGAATTGGTGTCAGCGGGATGGGGCATATGGTACTAAAAAGCGCCAAGGTAGAGGAGCATATGGGAACTCCAGGGTTACTCAATACATACGGTAAGCTTGTTGTAATGATATCAGTGTGTTACGCTGTCATTGTGATAATGGTTTGATGTGGACTGTGTTACCGTAACGGTTCAAAGTGAGCTATGTACCATATAGTAATGATTCATACTGTGAATTGTCTTGCTTGGAGCGTTTTACTCAGTCCCTAGCGAGTTATCTGACAATAGATATGGCAGCCATATTGGTGTACCTGACAAAAGAAACGAATGACAAAGTTATTGTCAATGGTACACCAATATGGCGGCTGTGACGTCATGTCTGACAATAGATATGGCAGCCATATTGGTGTACCTAACAAAAGAAACTAATGACAAAGTTATTGTCAAAGATACGCCAATATGGCGGCTGTGACGTCATGTCGGACAACAGAGATGGCAGCCATATTGGCAGCCATATTGGTGTACCTAACAAAAGAAACTAATGACAATGTTATTGTCAAAGGTACACCAATATGGTGGCTGTGCACGTGACGTTATATGAAACGCTCTATAGTGATGAGACAACGATGGTTCAATGGAAAGTGGGTTGCCATCGTAGTTATAAGGTGCCCCTAATTTTTTACGCAGGTACAAAGGGCACCACCGTGGCATCGTCACCATTAAATGATTTAGCAGTCACAGATCTGTCAGACGCACCTACTGATCAAGATGGTCAATTGTGACAAGCCAGCCAGTCAAAGAGGATGCATAAAACAAGTGAGTTAATTGTTTTTAAGTGTTAAGTGTTCAAAAAACTAGATTGTATAAAACTAGTATTGGACCGCGTCGATGTAAAGATAACATAAAAATGATAAACGAGAATGTTAGACTTCGTAGAGGAAAATGATACTTTGTTTGGGTTATTTACGTGTTAAAGGATAGCTATCGATTCAATTATCATTACGGTTCCTATACATTCCAACGTAACTGCGAATGTGCATAATCATATTGGCAGACTGATGGTTTTATGGAGCGTTATCTTAAATTACCATGGTAACCGTAGCTTGTTACCATGATGCTGGTTGAATATTTACTTGCGTTAAGTAGTTCAAGTCATGATACGATTTTCGATATTCCTTTCTCTCCTTTCGTCCACTATTTGTTGTCATACACTACGAAGCCAGAGTTAAAACCAGAGTACTTATGTTGCATTGAGTCTTATCAGGTTGGATCCATATACAAATAAGAGAAAATTAATGGGTTTTTTTTTCGTATTAAATATTACAAAATTACCTATATCTCATCTGTTTTTCGCTCTATCGATAGCTAGTAATTCCACACTATGCTATATTTTTATATGCAGTTTCTGATAATGCAAACGAAATTCTAAAATTCTCATAATTTTTCTTTCCTTTTTTTTTTTTTTTTTTTTTTTTTTGCCCCCATAATTTTTATAATTTTTGTCAAAACAAAAAGAATGACATTAAGATATACGTAGGAAATTTAAAATGCACTTGTTAGGTGCTGAGAGGATCACGTTTCTCGTGTAAGAAGACAGACAGATGGAGACAGATGGCGATAAAACACTAATAACCTTAACACAATTGTCATGTACTGCAGTGATAAGACTAAAAACATTGAACCGTATATTCGATTATTTGTAATATTTCACGCGTTATACAAAGCACAAGCCACTGCGGTGACAACAACGACAAACATCAATAGCACCAATAGCAGCTTCAACAACAACAGCAACAACGTACAAAAAAAATCCCAAAAACATATATGAATTCACCATTTTCCATACATCGGTTCACTGGTCAAACACAAAGCATTCAGTCGTGGTTGCAAGGTTCAAATTTGAATATTCCTTTGAAAGCAAGTACCTTGGCGCCTCGCTTGAGCGCTTTGTGTTTGACCAGTGAACTAATGTATGGAAAATGGTGAATTGAACAAGTAAACTAAGACGGTCAGGCAAACCGGAAAGCAACATCGAATGAACTTAAAACAGAACGTTCTTACAAATTTTGTAAAGTTTCAAGGGCACTCTAGTGTCTATGGATTATTCATTCCAACATTTGATCTCTCAAGTAACACTTTTATTCAGTACTTGCTTGGTTAAAAAGGCCATTTCATAAAACAGAACGTTCTTTACAAATTTGTAAAATTCCAAGGGCACTCTAGTGTCTATGAATTATTCATTCCAACATTTGATCCGTCAAGTAACACTTTTATTCAGCACTTGCTTAGTTAAAAAGTCCATTACATACTTATGATTCTCTTAACTCCCACTATATTGCTATTTGATGCATCTTGGCCAGTTTTTTTCGTGTTGTTAATCTTATCTTGTATCACATACATGGATAACATCACAGGATAGAAATTATGGCTATCAAGCATAAGGCTCATCTATCACGTTTTTTTGGCGGACTTTTGTGGATTTAGCTTTAGTCTTAGCATTTTTGATGTTTGATTTTTCAACTTTGTCATACTTATTTTTGTTAGTTTTTCTTAGTGACATTGGGTTATTTGAAATTTAATGTAAAAATATAATATGTATTAAGGAAGCAAATGTTATGAATAATTAATAAAGATATGAAAAGAGAGAAGAGAATGTTGATATCCCTAATGAATCTCCTGGTGAGTGACTATTCGGGAAGGAAAGAAAAGGAGAAGAGAGGAAAGGGAAGAGAAGAGAACAGAAAAGAACAGAAAAGAACAGAAAAGAACAGAACAGAACAGAACAGAACAGAACAGAACAGAACAGAACAGAACAGAACAGAACAGAAC